TACCAATATATGTATAAAAAAGGCAAAGTTCATGACTGGAAATATTTATTGTGAAGTCGGTCACGAACCATTTAGTAGAATTTTACTTTTCCTATTCTGAAACAAAGATAAGTCATTTACAATGACAAGGACATTCTTGGGCAAATCTACTGTGCATTATTTTTTAGTAGTCAAAAAAAAATAAAAAAAAAATGGATTCCATCCTTTAAAAGAATCCATCTCGGATTGTTCTCATTATGAAAACTAACAAAGTCATATTCAGAATAAGTTAAACATCAACAAATTGTGACATTTATTTTACACTGCTACAATGACTACAAATGTAATTATACATTAGTTTTTTTTTTATACAGTACACCACAACACGTTAACAAATCCAGTCCTACTGGAAAACCATTGAAGAGAAAGAGAGAGAGAAAAAAACAAAAAAAATAAAATAAAAATGTAACCTCTTAAGCTCTTTTTTTATTTAGCGTATAAAGGGGTAATCAGGGCAGTATTTACAAATTGTGCAGTAAATATCATGTCTGTGGAAACATCTTTTTTCTAGACTAGTTCTAAAAAAAAAAATAAAAGGATTAAATTATAAAGGAATTACAGAAGAGACGAAAAAAAGTGAAATTTAAGCATTTTAATACTACAATGCCCAGAACAAATATAAGTGCATAGCATACATGTCAAAATACATCTAATTACAGTGAAAATGCTTATATGACATAGTATCAAAACTGTACATCTGACGATCAGGATCCTACTTACAGATTATTTTCTACAAAAATGTAAGACCGTTTCAGCTGGCATTACAATACCCATAGTGTGATTGTGGGGTTTTTCAGTAAAGGGAGTTTTCTGTGCATCTTCTGCTCTCAAATGCTTCGTTATGTCGCTCTTTCAAAGTCATGCTTTTTCCTGAAAATTAAAAATGCATTGAAATAGCATTAAGTAACATGCTCTTTATTTCCTCAGAGAGATTTGGTATGTAGGAGAGCACTAAGTCACCTTTGTGCTATAAAGTGACAAGCATCCCTTTATTAATAATAAATTAAATGTCCTTTAGAAAACTAAAGGGACACTATAGTCACAAGAAGCTTATAAAGTGGTTCTGGGGTCTAAAGTCTGTCCCTCCAGTAGTAGCACTGAAACAATGCTTTTTCAGAGTAAAGGCAGTGTTTACAATGCTGGCTAGTAACACCTCTAATGGCAGTCACTCAGATGACCACGAGAGGTGCTTCCTAGTGTAGTGCTACACTGTGTGCAGCATGGCTTATGCTTCTTCACACTCTGTAAAGAGACAGTGAACATTCCCCACAGAGATGCATAATAGCCTTCCAATGCTTTCCTTTGGAAAAGCATTGGATTGGCTGAGCTCATCAATATTGATGATCTCATCCATGAAGGTGGGGATAGCCATAGCTAACCTTTTTACTGCACAGAGAGGGGACAGGTCACCTAAACAGCCAATTCAGCAATATAGAGTCAGGAGCACATGTTTGTTTTCCTGACATTATAGTGTTCCTTTAGGTTGAAACCTGGCACACCAAAATCTAAGAAAAACATTCTAACAGTAATAGTCACTAAAGTGTGAATTGTCAGGAATTCAAAAGGATTTTTAAATTTTAAATTGAATTTGTAAAACTGAAGGCCAGTTACATTTCCAACTTGACCATTTTCATATTGTAGAATTCTGCTTGCAGTTCCAACAATTCAATCAAAAAAAAACAGGTATACAGAGCACAAAAACATATGCTGCTCAAATTTTTAAAATATAGGTTTACCTCAAGCCATTCGTACACTGACAGTTAAAAAAATACTGTATAAATAAAAAATATAAATAAATATAAAAATACAAATGATCTAGCACTCTGCCCAAAATGAAATACTAAAAAACTTATACCAGGGTGCTGCACTGCGCTGTATATATAATTCAAAGAAATTATGTGATCATTCGCTGGATTTTCAATGAATCAACTGTACTCAAATTCACATGTGGAAAAAAAAAAAATCAACATATCGACCTGTGTATACGGTCTTTATCAAGATTCATAAACATTGTGTAAATTAAGAAAATAAGCTTACTAAGTGTCCAAAGTGCATGAGACTGAGTCCCACCCCATTGGACCACCCCTAACGTGCTCACAATGACGTCATACATCCGGCAGCGTATGAAAACCACAAATTTTTCATACACCATCACTGCACTAGATCATTATGGTAACGGGACGCTTTCCAGATTGGGAGGTCCTGCCGCCGGACACATGACATCATTGTGAACACATCACTGAGAACATTAGGGGTGGTCCAATCGGCGTGTGGGAATGGGTCTTGTGCACTTTGGACACTTGGTAAGCTTATTTTCTTCAATTTATGGGGTATATAAACACAATGTTTATATATGTACAGCATCTTGATAAAGACCTTACACAGGTCGAAACGTTGATTTTTCCATGTGTGAATTTAAATATACTTCATTGATTGATTGAAAATCCAGCGAGTGTTCTCATCAATTCTTTAGAATATATATACATACATATATATATATATATATATGTAATATATATTTATTTTCTATTTATTTAATTTCAATTCAATCCAAAATACATCCTGGCATATCAAATGCAAAGAGTCTGCCCTTACTCTGTGAGAATGTCTGCATGGAATCAACAGCTCCCAAAGTACAAGGCTCAAAGCATCTTGGGAAGATGTTGACATTGGTCACACGGAGGTAAAGTGTATCAAACTGTGGTGTATTTATCTTCGAGTGTCTTGCAAACACATTAATTTATTAGGGTGAGGGGAGACAAAACCATCATTAGCTCACTTATGACAGTTACTCTTTAAGGGACAAAGATACAAAATACGTAATAAGCTTTACATTGCTAAACATTATGGCGCATAAATAAAAAAGTGGGCCACAATCTATTCTGCTCATTCAAACTCCCATGTAAATTAATTTTTTTTAAATGTATTTTCTTTAACCAGTGAGAAAACCAATTTATAAAAAAACAAAAAACCCACAACTTTGTTTATTCT